AGTGGTTTTAATCCAAATTAAAGAGCACAAAACAAAGTAAATATTATTATTGAAAATAATAATAATAATAAAAAAACTTAAATTGACATCTAATTTATGATTAAATTACCAGCCCAATTAGTTACTGAATTTATAGTAGTTCTTCCCTCAATTTATCATTAAATGGCTGAGAAAATATCCATTAAGCAGATTCTGGGTTTTTAAAAATCTGAGTATAAGCAACTGAAAAATAGAACAAAAGATACCTGTGCAAATTTTCAGAGCCTCTGAGATACTGGGGAATACAGCAGATATCAAAATCAGTTTAATTTATTTTGTCTGCCTCCATCTGTGCACACTGAGCTGCTGGCTTGTTGTGATGCTTGATTTGTTATTTTATACCTCTATGTATGAAGGTCACTTACTCTACTTATGTTTTCACTTATGGGACTTCATTCATTTCACAAACCACTACTGCAAGGATGATAGAAAAATCTGTTGAAAGATATGAAATCCCTATGATACAAAGGTGGCAGTGATTATTCTCACACTATGACTATTAGAAGGAAATTTCCCTGGTTTGATTTTGGACACTGTGCTCCTAGATAGACAGCTTTGGTATGTTAGCAGCAATACAGGTTGCAGTCTACCAAAAGACTTTTGTTGAACAGTGTGCAAATACACTTTTAAGTCATGGGATTTCTTTTTGCCATTGTCTTTGAGAACAGTCGAGCATTCCTACACACTTTCATGCCCAGCAAAGCACCTTAGAGCTGGTTGGTATCTTAGGATAAACCTATAATGTGGCCTAATGTTTTGGTGTTGTGTTGTTGGTTGAGGAGAGGATTTTTTTTTTTCATTGTTTTCAGTCTGGCTATGACAAAAGCCAGAGAGCCAGATCCCTGTAAATCTGAATAGGGTTTCTGAGTAAAGAAAGCTATGCTGGCTTACATTTGCTGAGGATCCGATACACTTGGCTACATTTCCTACAGTTATCACAGAATCACAGAACTGTAGGGGTTGGAAGGGACCTCGAAAGATCATCGGGTCCAAACCCCCTGGCAAAGCAGGTTCCTCAGAGCAGGCTGCCCAGGTAGGCATCCAGACAGGCCTTGAATATCTCCAGAGAAGGAGACTCCACAACCTCCCTAGGCAGCCTGTTCCAATGCTCTGTCACCCTCACCGTGAAGTTCTTTCACATGTCAGTGCGGAACTTCCTGTGCTCTAGCTTGCAGCCATTGCCCCTTGTCCCACAAACCACTGAGAAGAGGTTGGCTACATCCTTCTGTCCCCCACCCCTCAGATATTTATATACACTGAGGAGATCCCCTCTCAGTCTTCTCTTCTCCAGGCTGAACAGACCCAGGTCTCTCAGCCTTTCTTCATAGGGAAGATGCTCCAGGCCCCGTATCATCTTTGTGGCCCTCCACTGGACTCTTTCCAGGAGATCCCTGTCGTTCTTGTACTGGGGAGCCCAGAACTGGACACAGTCACAGGACTCCAGGTGAGGCCTGACCAGGGCAGAGTAGAGGTGGAGGATCACCTCCCTTGACCTGCTGGCCAAGCTCCTTTTAATGCATGCCAGGATCCCATTAGCCCTCTTGGCCACAAGGGCACAGTGCTGGCTCATGGTCAACCTGTCATCCACCAGGACCCCCAGGTCCTTCTCAGAGCTCCTCTACAGCAGGTCATCCCTCAGCCTGTACTGATACTTTGGGTTGTTCCTTCCCAGGTGCAGGACTCTACACTTGCTCTTATTAAATCTCATTTGGTTTCTTCCTGCCCATCTCTCCAGCCGGTCCAGGTCTCACTGAATGGCAGCACAGCCTTCTGGTGCGTCATCCACTCCTCCCAGCTTTGTGTCATCGGTGTACTTGCTGAGGGCAGACACTATTCCCTCATCAAGGTCATCGATGAAGATGTTGAACAAGACCGGACCCAGCACCGACCCCTGGGGAACACCGCTAGTCACAGGTCTCCATCCAGACCAGTCAGCCAGTTCTCAACCCACCTTGCCGTCCACTCCTCAATCCCACACTTTCTCAGCTTTGCTAGTAGGATGTCATGGGAGACAGTATCAAAAATCTTGCTAAAGTCAAGGTAGATGACATCCACTGCTCTCCCCTCATCTACCCAGCTGGTGATGCCATCATGGAAGGCAACGAGGTTGGTCAAGCATGACTTCCCCTTGGTGAATCCATGCTGACTACTCCTCATAACCTTCTTCTCTTCCAATTGCTTGGAGATGGCATCCAGAACAAGCTGCTCCAATACCTTTCCAGGGACAGAGGTGAGACTGACTGGCCTGTAGTTTCCTGGATCCTCCTTCCTGCCCTTTTTGAAGACTGGAGTGACATTGGCTATCCTCCAGTCTTGAGGCACCTCACCCGTTCTCCAGGACCTTTCAAAGATGATAGAGAGCGGTTCGGTGATCACATCTGCCAACTCCCTTAGCACACACAGATGCATCACATTGAGACCCATGGATTTGTGTGCATTGAGCCCACTCAGACGCTCCTGAACCACTCCCACATCCACCATGGGGGAGCCCTCCATTTCCCAGACCCTTTGTCCTATTGTCAGGGGTGAGGAGTCCCGGGGGAGTGTCCTTGAAGCAAAGACTGAAGCAAAGAAAGCATTCAGTATTTCTGCCTTCTCAGCATCTCCCGTGACCAGGACACCCCCCTCATTCAGCAATGGACCCACATTATCCCTAGTCTTCCTCTTGCTGTTTACATACTTGAAAAAACCTTTCTTATTATCCTTTATCTCTTTCACAAGCCTCATCTCTAGGTGGGCTTTAGCCTTCCTCGTCACGTCCCTGCAGGCCCTGACAACACATCTATACTCCTTCCAAGAGGACAGGCCCTTTTTCCACATTTCATAGACCATCCTCTTCCTTTTGATCTTATTGATGAGCTCCTTGCTCATCCATGTAGGTTTCCTGCCCCCTTCCCCGATTTCCTGTTCCTTGGAATGTACCAACCCTGAGCATGGAAGAAGTGCTGCTTAAATGTAGCCCAGCTCTCACATGCACCCTTGCCTTCTAGCAACCTGTCCCATGAGATACTCCCAAGCAGGTTCCATGAAGAGGTCGAAGTTGGCTCTTCGGAAATCCAGGGTAGCAATCCTGCTTTTAGCCTTTCTTCCTTTGCCTAGTTCCATCTGGAACTCCACCATCTCATGGTTGCAGCATCACAAGCTGCCCCCAACCTTCACATCCCTAACAAGGCCATCCCTGTTGGTAAGAACGAGGTCCAGGAGCACCCCATGCCTCGTCAGCTCCTCCACCACCTGCGTCAGAAAATTGTCCTCAACGCATTGTAGGAACCGTTTGGACTGCATGTGCCTGGCCGAGTTGCTTACCCAGCAGATGTCTGGGTAATTGAAGTCCCCCATGAGGACTAGCACTCGTGATCGTGAGGCTACTAGCAGCTGCTCATAGAAGGCCTCATCGACTTCCTCCTCCTGATCTGGAGACCTGTAGTAGACCCCCACCACCGTGTCTCCCATACCAGCCCACCCCTTAATTGTTACCCACAAGCTCTCCGCTTGTCCTTCACCCTCCCCCAGCTGGAGCTAGGTACACTCTAATTGCTCCCTCACATACAGGGCAACCCCACCCCCTCACTTCCCCAGCCTGTCTTTCCTAACAAGGACATAGCCCTCCATGACTGCGTTCCAGTCATGTGAGCTGTCCCACCACGTCTCTGTGACTGCAACGAGATCATGGCCCTGTGACCGAACACAGATCTAGAGCTCATCCTGTTTATTTCCCATACTCCGTGCATTGGTGTACAGGCACTTTAGGGAAGTAGCAGGTGCAGTTACCCCTGGGGGGATGCAAGAAGAAGATACTGGATGGGGGATCAGGAATGCTACCTTCTCTGAAGAGCCCTCAGACAACCCTATGGCAGAGCTCAGAAGTTTTTCCCTGTCTTCAACAGTGACAGCAGTGACAACTTCCCCCAGCCCTTCTCTGTCACTTTTAGCTCCCCTCCCTTCCCCCATCAAACCTAGTTTAAAGCCCTGGTAATCAGCCCAGAGAGCTTGCTCCCCAACACACTTGTGCCCCACTTGCTCAGTTGGTGTCTGTCCGTAGCCCACATACCCGGCCTCTCAAAGGATGGCCCAAGATCAAAATACCCAAATCCCTGGTCCAGACACCACCCCCTCAGCCAATCATTTACCTGTCCTGTTCTGCTCCTTCTATCTGCATCCCAGTCACCCAGTGGGAGGACAGAGGAGAACACTACCTGCACCCCCGATCCCCTCAACATCCTCCCCAGGGATGCAAAGTCCTTTTTAATATTCTTAATTTTTTTAATAGCGGCCTCCCGGGATCCAACCTGAATGACTACAAGAGGATAGTAGTCCTCCGGTTTAATGAGTCGTGGCAGAGCCTTCCTAACGTCTCTGACATGTGCCCTAGGAAGACAGCACACCTCTCTGGATAGGTTATCTGGGCAACAAATGGGAGCGTCAGTGCTCAGCGTCAGCAAGGAGTCCCCAATCACCAGGACTCTCCACTCTTTTTTTTGTGGCACTGGTTACAATGCGGTGCTCCATCCGGCCCTGATCCTTATGTTTTGCACTTCCCCCAATCTTGACTCTCTTCTCGGGGTTGCCTCCCGGGTTCGGACTACTGTCCAGACCCCCAGCCTCTTTCACAACCTCCCTGAGAGCCTCAAATCTATTTCCCAGGGACACTGTGGGGGTAGGTGGCACTGTGGGTGTCGGGGACAGACGTCTCTTTCTGCTCCGAGCTGAGACAAGGGTCCAGCCCCTTGTCTCTTGAGGACAGTCTGGCCCTCTGTTCCGCAGGTGACCCATGTTTGTGTTGATGGTGAAGGTAGCTTGGATATTGCCACTCTCTTTTCTCATTATTGTATTTTACCCTGTATGGCAAAGCGCTTATCAGTGTACCTTGCCTGCACAGCTCTTCTAATGTGTTACTATAGGGTGTGAGGAAAGAGCAGGTTTTCACAATTAACTTGTTGGTGTTTGTATCAAGTACTTACCTGGACAGTGGATAAGGCCCATTTCCAACATAAAAGTCTCAGGGAAGGCTGGTACTGCAGAAGATGACAGTAAGGCTGAAGATGAAGAACCCTGGGCCTGTTGCTGAGTTGTTCTTTTCCATTCAGACAGCCATGACTCGATTACTTACTAGATAGTCTTTCTTCATGACAAACTATAAAAGAGGATCTCTTTTATACAACCCATTGTAGCTGTTAAGCTATGTGTTTTTCTATATACCTGCTAGAACCATCTGACTAACAAAACACTCTGGTATAATTGAAAAATAACCCATGATCCACCTTCTTCAACATGGAATGTACATATCGTCAAAAGGAAGCAATGGTACCAATAGCCATTGGCTTCAACACATTTTGAAATTCAGTCCTTTTGGTAATTTGATCTTTCATTTTCCACCACACAACATTCAAATCCTATGTTTTCATCATGTACAGAGAAGTGTTGGCTATTTCTTAACCCTAATCCCTTCATGTTTCTATCTTCACTAATCTATCCATAGTGCAAATTACTGTATCTCTATTTTCCACTTCTACAGCCACTTTGCTTCTCTGTAGTCATACGGTCCTATTGGACATGATATGACTTTCTTGTCTGATTCTCCAACTGTCTTCATCCTTATTGCTCATTTAGATGCATGATCTCTACACAAACTTTGAGAAGTAAACTAAGCAAAAATTACTGTAAAAAATCGGCCATCCTCTTAGACTTATCTGTACCTTACAATTAGTACACATGGAAAGAGAATGGCACATGTTCTTTTCCACTTATATCCTTACCCTTAGTCATGCTAGTCAGCTCACACCTGTAAGTGGAATAGAAATGCATGTGATGCCCTGAGCTTTGCCTTTCCAGCTGTTCTGAGCACTTAGTGCCCCTCTGATGCTCTTTTAAAAAAGGTTTAAAAGTAAGTGCAAGATTAAACAGAACCTCAATAGCAAGAGTCTGTCTGACTCTAGGAATTACTCTTGCGATGATCATCACTAAATAATATTGCTGCAAGCAAGAATTGCATTGTGCAAACCAAATAAAAACAAAGCAAGCCCTTTCAAACCCTTAGAGCTCTTCCAACAATGTTTTCTCAAAATTCATAAACTCATATTTCAGGAAAGTACTGTAAAAAAAAATCTGATTTGCTGGATAGGTGGGGTTTTGCTGGCACAGCACCAGGTCATACATATGGGATTCTGCCATGCTTGCTGTTTTCTTTTACAGGTAAAGAGAAGAAAAAGTATGTGAAAGGCATGAGCAAACTGAAAATAATCAAACTCCTTTCCATCATTAACCTTCCTAAAACCTTCCTAAAAAACAATCAACCAAACTAGATGCAAGGCAACAATAAGTGAAATAGAGCACAAAGTATCAGTGATTAAAAATATCACATGCAAGAAGCATATGCTACTATGCATATATGAGCTATTTGGGGGCTCAGTCCTCTAATGGATGCAGTATTTGCAGGGGTAAGAGAGAAAAATACCTAGGCTGTATTATAGTTCACTGATTTATGGGAAAACATCTATTTTACCACTTTTTGCCATATTTCCATTGATTTACCTGAGATATCAGTTTTAAATCTTTGTCTTCCACCTGTGCCAATGAGAACATCAGGACATTATAGATGTGCCTCAACACTCTTTAAAGCACAGAGGCCTGACTTTGTGCTTTAAAGTGGTAGGTGTGGATTCTCTCACCATGCAGCTCTGGAAAATGTCATCTTCTGGACCCACCTGAGACAAAGAAAGAGTCTACTGCCTTCAAGTACTCATGGTCACTTGGCTGTTAGCTCTTTCTGCACATTTTAACAGCTTTCTAACCTGCTTTTACCTGATTGAGATGAATTTTCAAAGCACTATGACAAACTTTTTCAGTGGACCTGGCTTATTTTAGGACTATAAGAACATCAGGCTAAAACAGCACATCAGGTCTGTCCTGGTTTCAGTTAGAACAGAATTAATTTTCTTCCTAGTAGCTAAACACCACGCAGCCGTTCGCTCACCCTCCCCCCTCCCTCTCTGGGATGGGGGAGAGAAATGGAAAGTGAAGCCCGTGAGTTGAGATAAAGACAGTTTAATAAGACAGGAAAATAATAATAACAAAATAATAATAACAATAATAATAATAATAATAATATGGTGATAATAGGGAAATAATAATAATATGTACAAACAAGTGATGCACAATGCAATTGCTCACCACTCGCTGACCGATGCCCAGCCTAGCCCCGAGCAGTCCGGCCCCGTCCCCCCGGCTAGCCACCCCTATATATTGTTTAGCATGACGTCAGATGGTATGGAATACCCCTTTGGCTAGTTTGGGTCACCTGTCCCGGGTCTGTCCCCTCCCAGCTCTTACTGCACCCCCAGCCTGCCCGTTGGCAGGGCAGAGCAAAAGGCTGAGATGTCCTTGGCTTGGTATAAGCACTGCTCTGCAACAATTAAAGCATCGGGGTGTTATCAGCACTCTTCTCATCCTAAGCCAAAACACAGCATTCCACCAGCTACTAGGAAGAAAATTAATTCTGTTCTAACTGAAACCAGGACAAGGTCTTAAAGTCCAGTCACCTGAAACTGCAGAAAAAGTATCTAGCACAAAAGAGCCCAGCGAGTGTTTCTCTACACAGCCCACCTACTGTGGCTGCAGTGGTTTCTCAACATCCTCTAAGAAAGCCCAAGTAGTAAGGTAAAAGCCCAATTATAATGAACTTCATTAAGAAAGCAAGCAGTTATTGACATTACTGACCAAAGACCTATGTCCCCTGATAGAAGAGTTTACTAACAAATGTCCAGGATTGCTTTAGAAATGGTTACCTATGCTGTCATAGAAGATTATTCTTATAATTTTTAAGAGCTCCCCAATGTGCAGACTTGCCAACCTTGACATGGAAGGAAAGATTCCCCCCTCTGAATCCAAATGGGGAGGCTGATTTATGCGATTCCTGAAGGCACCAGCCAGGTGCTGGGGAGTCTCATGAACCTGACTTGCTTCCTGGCTGCGATAAATCTCCCCAGTTCTACCGGGGAGAGCTAGCAGACCCCAAAACATTTCTGAGAAGCCACATAATGCAGGAAGACCCCCTTCCCCCCACCCCCCAGGTGACCAGCCTAAGCACAATGCCCATGACCTCGGAGGCAAGCAGAAAGCAATGCAAGCACACTTCAGCAAGGAGGAGCTGTGCCTGACCCTGCACCAGGCATGTAGGTGTGCAGGGCTGAAGCCCAACATTTTCCAGTAATTTAGGATGACAGGGGAGACATTGCAGGTTATTACAACTACTGCACATTGGAGTTTTGTTTTGTCTAATGCATGTGATATTCTGGGGCTCTGTGTTCTCACCCCAAAGTCTGGTAGCAAGCACAGGGAGGAGAATAAATAGTAGCAAGAAGGAACAAAACCACTACTGTACTCACACCAGCCCAATACAGAGACCTGGCCACATTTGGGACTGATTTAGAAAACTATTTGGCAGCATTTGCGGAAAAAAATGGAAGATCAAATAACACCTTTCTCTAATCTAAGTGATTTCTATAAATTAAATGTGAAGCACCCCAATCACCCACAACGATAACCCTTCTACTGTTGTGCTCATATTGTCTGTCTTTGATTTTTATGCATGTGGTTGTATACATCCATATCTAATGTTGGTCAACTGGTTGACCATTAAAAATTACTCAGTGGATATGGAAATGCTGTTTAGAAAATGTGAGCTTATAGACAATAGGCTAGCATTTTACTTACTTTTAAAGGCTCATTAATGCAAGTTAGTGGCACCAACCATTCCCCATGTATACCTGAAAAATAACTGAGTTAGTCTTGGGATACCAGACTAGACACCTGAATTACAGATAAAGCATTGCTAAGCTTTTAGGTAGGACTGAGCAGAAGAATGTCAATAGACAAGAGACGATTCTTTGAGACCAGTCCTCAAAGCCTGTTCCTTCACTCCTGCTGTGATGTCTTTAAGGGAGTGAATATTCTCTGAGAGGTTTGTTCTAGCACTGAAGGAACACAGGACAGAGAGGTATTACTTTCCCAATACAGGACAGTGCTTTAGCCAGTATGTTCTTATTAGAGCTTAGAGAGTTTAAGAAAAGAGCCCTGTAACACACATGTCCCCCTGGTCAGTTTATGCATGCTCTCACAGCTCTAATAAAAACATAAGATGAAGGTAAATTAGGGCAGATGACTGATTCTGTCAACACTGAGCAAATAACATCTTTAAGGTTTATGTGTGACTTAGAATTCAAGAATGCAGACGTTGTTTTTTGTTGATGTGCTTGTTAAAGAAAATACTTTGATAGTTCCAGAGGAAAAAGAAAGTATATAGAAATGTAAAGAGATTAAAGCAAAACAAGAGCCTTGACATCAGACAGGAGCTTGTTTGATTAGGTCACCCTATAGCTTAGAAATAATTAAAAATAAGGAAGGTAGATGGAGGATATCAGGTGCTTAAGACAACATCTCAAATCTACCAGTTCTTGTGTTCCTGCAGGCTTTGCAGATGTTGAACTTGTCTTTTGGCTGAGGAGCTCAGGAGGATGAGGAGAGGCACCAGAATCTAGCAGGCAGATAAGATTACCTCACTACCAACAAATGTTTGACATGCTCATCTAGTCTGGTTCCCTGTCTTTTGCTTCTCACCTGCTGCTGGTTGCTCAGCATGCCTTCGAATTAATGAAGTGGATGTTTGCCTTAAGGAGCAACTTGTTCAAATCCCAGAGGAGCTGCTCACGCCTGCCTGGTGTCTGCAGCAGTGATGCCAGCAGCCTGGCAGGCAGTGGCAGATCAAAAGGAAAACCTCCCACAGTGGTTCTGGGGATTTCCTTGCTAATATGCTGATACATACATTAGTTGACTGACTGACATTGCCTAAATATTTGTCCTTTACTGCTATGTTTGGCCACAATTTTACAGCAACTTTGGTGGTTTGTGACTTAGCCCACTTTATGCATGAGCTCCTTTGACTTCTGCTTGCTGCCCTTTTGCTAACCACCACTGCAGGATTAGAAGGGCTGACATCAGGCCATTTCACCTGAGTTTTCTCTTTCGTAGTGAGAAATGATTGAGTTTTCACCTCCACCTGAGTGCTGTGGTCAGTAATGGAAGATTGATGGGTTTTGACAGAAACTAATGAAGTCTATGCTCACAAATTTACCTTGCACAACACTATATGTTCATCCAGAAGCAAAAAGAAGTTCTCATATCTGCACACTGGTATTTGCATGTTTTTGCAGGAGGTATTTGCATGTTTACTAACCTCCCACTGAACAGAGAAACCTGGAAATGGCATAGATGAGCTGCTGTCTCCCAGCCAGTGCCAGCTCCAGCTGCAGAGAGAGTTGAGGCTTGCTCCGTAAGAGACCAAGACAGACCCAAGACCATTAGAGGGAAACAGAACAGAAATATCTGTCTTTACACCACAGTCACTTGGAAAATTAATGCTTAACCAAAAAAGACAGACAGGTAGTATGACTGCTCAGGTAATCCTGAAAATACATGTTATTCAATCACCTTCCCCAACCTTGCATTGTTTAGAACAGACATCAGTTGTCCTACTATATAAAACAAAATAGGTAACTTCCTTTTTTTTAAAGTCAACTTGATAGGATCATGCATGCTATTTAACTACAGTGATAAATACATATGGTTTAGGAATTCAATTATACTTAAGTTCTTCTCTAACAAAGATAGAACAGCTGGTTGCCAGATCCTCTGAGTGCTTCAACTTTGTCAGGAGCATCCAGCATATTTTAAAACCATCTCTTGACCCCACAGAGGAGGTCAATATTTCTTCTGGCAGCCCACTAGTTATTTTTTAAATGTCTTGATTTTGTTTCTGTGGCGTAATTCAATTTTACTCATTATCACTACAGATGTCAGACCAAGACTAGCAAGATTACAGCAGTAGCTGGAGCATATGGTTGAGTCATCTGAATAATAATCATAAATCCTTTTTGACATTGGCCCATTATTACATCCTGATCATGTCCCCTTGGAATCTCTTGTTTGGTGTAATGTTTAAGTCATTAAAAACTATCTCTGGAGATCTAGATTTATGGACATCTCAATTGGAGAAATACAGTATTAGCAGTATGTTTATACAAACAAAAACCATAATAGTATATACCAATATATCTATGTGTAATGTCTATGGAGACGTACAGGAGATGCAATTAGTGATTGGCAGTCACTTAAAGAAATGTTTCTGATGACATGTTCATGATGACAACGTAAGTCAGGTTGATGCCTGAACTGCCATTATTGAAAAAAAAAGTACATTATTGTTCTGGTTTCAGTTAGAATTCTGTTCTAACTGAAACCAGGACAATTATTTATATGTATATATTTAATAATAATAATTTTTAATATAAATATATTTAATAATTATATATATATACTAAGAAGTAAATGAGACAGTCCTTATAGTTTTAAATGGTGATATTTTCCTAGCTTTTACATTTTGTATTGAGTGGAATAAGGTGTGAAGACAGCAATGAGAATAAGGTTCTTCACATCCTACTGAACCTTTGCTCCTTTCAAGAGAATTTTACAATTACAGGTTACCAATTTCTTGGCCATCTGTAGCAGGCAGTAGTGATGGGATCACAGAATCTGTGGGTATCAGGAGGACAAATTACAGGTAGCTTTTGATCCAGATTTGAAGACCAATGCTGACTCACTGTATTTATAACAATCTAGGTATCTATTAATGACCCGACACAACATGCTAAATCAAAACCCTCAGGGTTTAAAAAAAAACACCCAATCAAGGAATAATAATTACCAAGCTGCAGTCACAGTAATGTGACGAATCCTGAGCAGCTTTCCCAAAGATGAATTTTTGTGGCACGAGCCCAAGCCACAGCAAAAAGAGGCTCATTTATGACTCGTGTTAAAGCAGCCTCCAGCAACCCCCACCTCCCCACACACCCTCAGATGCAACTGGGATACCATAAAACTGAGCCTTGTGGATTTAGAAGAAAAGGGACTCCACTGAGATCCAATGTAAATGGGCAGCCCAAATATTTAAAGGCTTTAAAACAACACAAATATGTTACCTCAGCATCCTTGGCTAACAGTATTGATTAAAATGTGGTGAAAATTACTTCATTTTTGGTACAGAACATTTTCTCAGCCATGGCAGGTTGCCTCTTACCACTATCCACTACCCAATTGTCCCTTCTGTGTCCTTTTAAAACCCAGGTTTCTTGCTGAATTGGTCTCACAAG